CCCCTTCCTGTTGCTGTTGTTTTATGTTCTCCTGAGCCAAACAGTGAGAGGAACTGATCTTGATCCTCCCACTGTGTGTCAACAGAAACCAGAAGCGATGAGGATTCATTTCTTTATAAGCTATTGCCGGCTTGTGTAGAAGTGGATTAATCTAACCTTGATTTTGTCTGCTGCTTTGGTGGCCAGAAGAGAGATCTGAGATCTCATAGACCCCAGAACTCTCCATAAAGAGGACCTGTCATGGCCACTTCTATCACAAGGGATGTTGTTCATTTTATGTGATAGCAATAAAAGTGATTTAAAAAATTTAAAGGTATAATGTTAAAATAAAAAAAAAAATTAATAAAATAATTTTTTTTTTTAAAGTCTCCCCATTGCTCGTGCTCAAAGGCGAATGCACACGCCGGTCCCACATGCATAAGTAAACAGCGATCACACCACACGTATGAGGTATTACTGCAAATGTCAGAGCAAGAGCAATAATTCTAGCAGCAGATCTCCTGTGTAAATCTAAAGTGCTAACCTGCAAAGGCTTTTAAAGTGTCGCCTATGGATAATTTTATGTAGTTTAGTTTGTCACCGTTCCACAGGCGTTCACAATTTTAAAGCATGGTATGTTTGGTATCTATTTACTTGATTTAACATCATCTTTTATATTTTACCAAACAATTGGGTATTATATTGTGTTTTTGTGCATTAAAATCCATTAAAGTGTAATTTCTAGGGCCGCTGCTTAAAAAATATATAATGTTTGGGGGTTCTAAGTAATTTTCTAGCAAAAAAAAAAAGCTAATTTTAACAAGTAGGAGAGGAATGTTAGAATTGGTCTGAGGCTGAAATAGTTAAAGCGGAGTTCCACTCACACTGTAAATAAATAAAAGTCAGCAGCTACAAAAACTCTAGCCGCTGACTTTTAAAAAACAGCCTCTTACCTGTCCCATGATCCCGCGGTGTCCTCCCCACAGCCCGTTTCGCCGGCCATCCTGTGTTCCAGGCACCGGCATCTTCAGTGTGGGCACCCGGCTGTGACAGCTTGCGGCTTCACAGCCGGGTGCCCACTGTGCATGCGCGAGTAGCGCTGCGCTTCCTAAATGGCCCCGTCGTCTTCTGGGACCTGACAGGTGTCCCAAAAGACTACCGGGAGGGAGGACACCTTCCACTTCTGATCGCCTAGGTCAGTGGTGGGCAACCTTTTTTTTCAACTGAGCCAAATCTCGCCAAAACCACGATTGAAATTTATTTTGAGAGCCACATTTTTAATACTGAAAATACATCCCCCATATAGTAATTCATCCCCCATAGTAATTCATCCCCCATATAGTAATTTATCCCCCATATAGTAATTCATCCCCCATATAGTAATTCATCCCCCATATTAATTCATCCCCCATATAGTAATTCATCCCCCATAGTAATTAATCCCCCATATAGTAATTCATCCCCCATAGTAATTAATCCCCCATATAGTAATTCATCCCCCATATAGTAATTAATCCCCCATATAGTAATTAATCCCCCATAGTAATTCATCCCCCATAGTAATTCATCCCCCCTATAGTAATTCATCCCCCATATAGTAATTCATCCCCCATAGTAATTCATCCCCCATATAGTAATTCATCCCCCCCTATAGTAATTCATCCCCCATATAGTAATTAATCCCCCATAGTAATTCATCCCCCATATAGTAATTCATCCCCCCTATAGTAATTCATCCCCCCTATAGTAATTCATCCCCCCTATAGTAATTCATCCCCCCTATAGTAATTCATTCCCCATATTGTGTCAATTCACTTACCTTTGCTCCGCACGTTCCTCTCGCCGTGTTCCCGCGCCGTTCCGGTCTTCAGGGCGGACTGTGAGAGGAGAGAGGAGTTTGTCACGCTGCCCCGCCTACATCCTGACAGCCAATGTTTGCCACGCTCCACGGGCCGGATTAAAAGGTCCGCCGGGCCGTATACGGCCCGCGGGCCGTAGTTTGACCATTGCTGGGCTAGCTGCATTGTCCTGACTTTTGGGGCGGCCGCCCGAGAGGAGGGAGGGGAGCGGGCGCCCGGCACACAGAAGAGCCGCATTTTAGTGTGTAAAGAGCCGCATGTGGCTCGCGAGCTGCGGCTTGCCGACCACTGGCCTAGGTGATCGCAGCGGAAGGGGGAGCGGGTACCTGTCAAATTCTGGTACCCGCTCCCCAAAGGTGCCAATCCTTAATGAGGAGCGGGGGACCAGTCTTAAAACGGAACTTCCCCTTTTGGGTGGAACTCCACTTTAAGTGTGTATGTGTGTGTGGGGCGGTTACATAGGAGCAGAATATTGCTTCTCCTAAAGGAGATTTCCTCTCACTTCCTGTTACATTGCTGGGATAGGAAGGGATATATCCTAGTGGAGGTTCTTACCCTTTCCTGCTCTTCCAGGAACAAACGCCACTGAATTGGCCAAAATTCAAGCTGTGGGTGAATTGAGAAATTGAAGCCGGGTGGAAAAAACAGTCGGCTGAACAAGACTGCGGCCAGTCAGGCAATCATCTGCAGTTGCTATTCTGCTGATCTGACAGCCAAGGGTCCCAGCTGTCTAAATACAGTAGCCTGCAGGAGAGATTCCTCCATCCATACAATAGATTGGAAAATTTCTAGATTTCATATCATGCTGTCTGCTGAGCTAAGAAAAAGAAATCTTTGTATATATTCTCAGCTTAAATCTCCTTTTGGGGGGGCGTGAGACTTCGGATAAATATTAGCACTTTGTAATATAATTATCATCGTGAATAGTATACACCATTTATGACACTCTGACTGTTATCTCTAGATTTCTTGCACTGTGTTTTCATTGTATTGACTTACTACACTTTCATATTTCTTCTGCAGGTTGTTAAAGGCTTGTGGGTGTCGCCTTACTGAAAAGCTTCTTGAAGGGGCCCCAACAGAGGACACTCTGGTGCAGATGGAGAAGCAGGCAGGTAAGTGTCCAACCTTCCTGGCAGGGGCGGACTGAGAACTCATGGGGCCCCTGGGCAATAGGGGATCATGGGGCCCTGTGTCCTTGCCCACACCCAAAAAGCCTATGAAAAAGCCTCTGAAAGGTTCCAGGGGCATCTCATGGGGCCTCCTACTCACTCTGGGCCCTCGGGCAGTGCCCGAGCGCTCGAGTGGTCACTCCGCCCCTGCTTCCTGGCCATGTTGAAAGAATGCTAAATGTTATACAATTTTTTTCCTCTCTATTCCCACAATGTGTTTTGTTTAGTAAGGTTTGTAAAAATCTTAATTTTTTCTGCATAATGTACCTTTTAAGATAGATATTTGTAGATTTGCACATGATTTAGCAAATTGTGCGTGTTTTTGGGCACACACTTGCTAAGCTTTTTGGTTAATGGGGTCTTGCGGGTTCCAGAGTTTGTGAAAAAGTATGAGCTAGGATATATTCCCCACCACTTTTCTGTGTCCTCTGAGTCTGTAACTGTCTATAGAGACCATTTAGACCTCTAAATTGAAAAAAAACAAAACAGGTCCAGCGGCTCTTATTACCACCCCGCAGAACCAGTAGATTACTGGTATGTTGGGAGTGCAGAGGACTGTAGATTTAACCACTTGCCTAACGGCACTTATACCCCCTTATTTACCAGGCCAATTTTCAGCTTTCAGCGCTGCCGCACTTTGACAATTGCGCGGTCATGCAACATTGTACCCATATGAAATTTTGATCATTTTTTTTCTCACAAATAGAGCTTTCTTTTGGTGGTATTTAATCGCCACTGGGCACTTTACTTTTTGCGCTATAAACAAAAAAAGTGCAAAAAATTTGAAAAAAAAAAAAAGTTTCTTTGTTTCTATTATAAAATTTTTCAAACAGGTAATTTTTCTCATTCACTGATGTGCGTTGATGAGGCCGCACTGATGGGCACTGATAGGCGGCACTGATGGGCACTGATAGGCAGCACTAAAGGGCACTGATAGGCAGTACTAATGAGGTGGCACGGATAGGCGGGCACTGATAGGCAGCACTAATGAGGTGTCACTGATAGGCGGCACTGATAGGTGACACTGATGATGGGTACTGATAGACGGCACTGACTGGCATCACTGCTGGCACTGACTGGCGGCACTAACTGGCACAACCGCTGGGCACTGACTGGTGGCACTGACTGGCAGTACTGCTGGGCTGCACTGGTGGGTGGCACTGGTGGGCAGCACTGATGGGTGGGCACAGGTGGGTGGCACTGGTGGGCACAGGTGGGTGGGCACAGGTGGGTGGCACTGCTGGGCACAGGTAGGAGACCCTTCTGGGCACAGGTGTGTGACACTGCAGAGTGGCACAGGTGGGTGCACTGCTGGGCACAGGTGGGCGGAGCTAGTGGGCGCACTGCTGGGCACAGGTGGGCGGAACTTGTGGGTGGCACTGCTGGGCACCGATCATCAGGGCACTGATCATCAGTGCCCTGATGATCAGTGCCGATCCTCGCTCTGACAACTGCCGGTTCTCGGCTCAGTACTTTCCTCACGATCTGACAGCGTGAGGAAAGTGCAGCCGAGAACCGGCAATTGCATTTCCCTGTGATCAGCGTGTCATTGGACACCGCTGATCACGTGGTAAAAGGCCGCTGTGATTGGCCTTTTACCACATCACGTGATCAGCTGTGTCCGTAGGACACAGCGATCACGGAGATCGCCGGGTGCGCGCCCCCTGGGGCGCGCAGGAGAGCGCGTCCTGGGAGGACGTCGTATGACGTCCACCCAGAACTGGCCGGCCGCAGTGCAGCCGTCATTCGGCTATCTGCGGTCGGCAACTAGTTAAATGAAGAGAGCAGTCAACAGATCAGGGACACATCTCACTTAATGTAAGCTCTGTCCTCCCTGTGCTGATTACAAAAAAAAATACAATTTACAAAATTTAATCTTTCAACTATGTGAATAAAAATCAATGGTTCTAAGCTCCCCAGCGGTGCCATTTGGTTTGTTACAAACCTGGAAATCTTTTCTGGACAGCTTAGCCTTTATCATGTATCTTTTTTAATTATTTTTTTTCATTTCAACCTTACTCTTTTTTCTTGTAGACCTGGAGGAAGAATGTGCAGCCTGGGAAAGCCGTGAAGAAGAGGAGGGAAGGCCATGTCCCGTACCTGACATCTTGGAGGGCAGGGAACTGCTAAAGTGCCCCACAGAATCCTCTGTGCTCTCAGATTGTAGCTGGACCTGCAGGACGGCCGTGTTCAGATCTCTGCGCCACATGAGACAGGTGTTATTTCCTGAATGGTAACAGTACAAGGAGAGATTTTAATTTGAAAGTTCTGCAGGATAAAAGGAATTATGGATGAGGTTTTATCAACTTCCCACCCAGGCCAATTTTGGCACTTCTCTCCTACATGTAAAAAAAAGGCGGTCATTTGTCACACGGTATTTGCGCAGCAATTTTTCAAATGCAATTTTTTTTGGGAAAAAATAATATATTTATGCAAAAAAACACAATATATAACCACATTTTTTGGTAAATATAAAAGGTGATGTTACGCAAAGTTAATAGACAGCTAACGTCACACTTTAAAATTGGTCATACTCATGGAATGACACCTAATTACAGTACTTAAAAATTTCCATAAGTGATGCTTTGCAAATCTAAACTGGTAACCTGTAAAAAATTTATAGAGGAAGTCTAGCACTAAGATTATTGCTTTGCTACAATATTCACGGCGATACCTCACGTGTGTTGCAAACATGATTTACATGTGCAGGTGTGGCCTACGGTTTTCTTCTGCATGCGGGCTCGAGAGGACAGGGCACTTTAAAAAACAAAAAAACAAAAACCATTTATATACATTTTTTTCTTACACACTGTCCCTTTTTTTTAAATTAATTTTTTATTTTTTTACCTTTTTTTTTATTCCGATTGCAAGAAATGTAAACATCCCTTGTGACAGAAATAAAGGATGACAGGTCCTCTTTATGGAGTGACCCCAGATATTCCCTCTACCCTGGAAAGAATGAGATTAAAAAAAAAAACATTAATCTCTGCTTTCCAGGGGAAAAAAATGGCAGTATTTACAACTGCCAGAGCCGAAGTGACGTCATGACATTGCTTCTAGCCTCCCAGGATCATAGAGATGGTCGGGTATCATCCGGTCCCCAGCCAGCTGTGTGGTAACCCATCACCGGATCGGATCCCGGACTCCCTGATATCATGGGATAGCCCAGGGAGGCACCGGTGGGCAGGTGGAGGGGTGGTAGGTCCCCTCCTACTGCCTGTAAAAGCCATCCAGCAGCTAACCGGCTGTTAGGATTGCTTTTACACAAGAGGGAATCATCGCTGGCTGAAAAGAAAGATATCTGAATGATGCCTGTAGCTACAGGAATCATCCAGATATCAGCAAACACAAATGCTCCTGCGCTTGCGGATGGACTCAATGTAGGCTAGAACCACATCATGAATGTCCTGGAATATGCACACCTTGCTGCCCTCAAAAGACCGGGGAAATACAAATATACTGAATGAAGAAAGAGCAGAGGGCGCACGGGCTTCGTGCATTACCATAAAAAAAGTTTAATAAGAAATAAAAGTAGGTGTTTATACTCACAAACACAGTAAAGTCAAAGGCACATCATAAAAGAACAGCTTGGTCAACACCGTGCTATGTGACAGTCCGCAACAGGGAGGCTAGACATCTAATAGGCTGACGCATTTCGAGGACTTGCCTCTTCCTCAGAGCCGGAAGTGAAGTCATGACATTGCTTTCAGCCTCCCAGGATAATAGAGATGGCCAGGTATCATCCGGTCCCCAGCCAGCTGTGTGGTAACCCATCCCCATCACCGGATCGGATCCCGGGCTCCCTGCTGATATCATGGGATAGCCCAGAGAGGTGCCGGTGGGCAGGTGGAGGGGTGGGTAGGTCCCCCCCACTGCCTGTAAAAGCCATCCAGCGGCAAATCAGCTGTTAGGATTGCTTTTACACAAGAGGGAATCATTGCTGGCTGAAAAGAAAGATATCTGAATGATGCCTGTAGCTATAGGCATCATCCAGATATCACCACTTCAAGTCTAGGATGTCATATGATGTCCTACAGGGGGGAAGTGTTTAAAGCGGAACTGAACTAACAAGAATCTGTGAACAGGTAGCTCTTTATTGCAGTAGAGATATACCATGTCTCTTTCTGCAGTAACAAACACCTGCCTGATCGCAGTCTTCTATTGAATGCATGCTGGGCTGCTCATGTGCAGCTCATCGTGCATTCCCAGGACACTCTGGCTGTGCTGGAATGACAGGCTCCCTTACGTATGTGCGTGATGACATCATTTCCCCAACCAACCAAACAAGAGGCTGAAAACCTTGCACCCAGAAGTATTCAGGGAGAAGATGACAGCAGTCAATGAGGAACTTAACCGCCGCTTCGCTGGAATGAGAAAGTTTATATTTCTGTGAGTTTAGTTCCACTTTAAATGTAAAAGATGTTGTCGTCCAATAAGTACTGGGCCAGGAGTGCGCAAATTACTGCATATAGCTTGATGCAGAGAGAGATTGTGATATCGCCGATGTCTTTCGTTTAGGTCCTCGGCCCGTCTGCTTTTCGTATGCTGGCCTGGCATGTTCTGATGGGAAATCAAGTCATATGGAAGGGGCACAACAAGAGCTCATCCAGTCTGCTTTCGATGTCCTCCAGGTCTGTCTATTGTTCCTGTTACAGATATCTGAGTGTAGGATAATATTTACTACTACTATTATGGGTATTGACGTATATAGTGTGTAGCTATGGGAGGTAAAGCAGATTTGGCAGCAGTGGCTATGTGGTTGAGTGAAACCTTAAGATGATGGGAGAGGGAGATCAAAAGTTGTATGCCTTTCTGAAAAGCTTGGTTCTGAGCAAACGTTTCATTATATTTGTTCAATACTTAGCTGGTGACATCATCCGGCCATACGTGGATCGTAACTAGTCCAGTTCAGCAGGGACCGGACTAGTTTCGATCCATGTATGGGACACCCTGGTTGTACAGTTGTCGATCTATTGATTGACTTGTGTACAACCAGCCATAGTGGAAAGGAAGGAAAATTGCATAATCTATGGCCTGCTTTCCTGTGCTCTCTTCCTCTACTACAGACTACGGCTCCCCCTCCCCATTTTATTTAGAAGAGTAGAGGGGACAACACTGCTGATCTATAGATACAGTACAATGAGAGAGTATTGTCACCCTAAGGGCTCGTTCACACTTGACTTTTGTAACGGAACCGACCCAAACTGCAGGTGAGTACTTCCGTTGAGGTGAGTACTTCAGGTGAGTACTTCCAACAGACACCACAGCTGACCATACAAGACTAGACGACACCAATCTTGAAGTAATCCAGAAAGTAGACTAGTTTATTTTAACACAGATGCAAGATATATACACTTAGGGGACAGTCCCCCTTCCCTGCATAATGACACCGTGTGGGGCAATCTACATTTAGTAACGAGACACACCAACAGACAGTCCCATCAGGAGGGAGGGCTGCTGGAGACACCCCCCCCCCCCCCCACCCCACCACTAAGATAATACACATAAACATATACATCCCATAATAGTAGAACAATGGGATGCAACCACATAACACCAAACAATCCACACAACCCCCCCCCACCTATCTCCTAGACATATCTACACAATATTAGGACAGATCACCCTGCACCCCTAACAGGCACAGGGTGACTTACACATAAGAGGGATATGGGGAGCTGAGACAGGGGTCTGCCCACCTCTTCAAAGTGAGCTGGTTTCCATGGGCCCCCCACCCAAAGTCACTCCCCGTCACAGCTTTATTTCTAACTCTTGCCAAACGCCCCTATAGCGTTTGACAGGCGTTAGACAAGCGTTTGTGAAGCATTTTTAACGCTCCTCAAACACTCCCAAAACGCGCCCCCTATGTGCATTTTTGAGGCGGTTGATAGGCGTTTGCCAAGCGTTTAAAACCACACCACAAAAACTCCTATAATGAAGTTAAATGGTATTAACTCTCTGGAACCGCATCGCAACCGCACTGCAAACGCCTGCCAGGCGTTTGCGGAGCGACACCATAGACTTGAATGGGAGGCTTCAACTCCTCCTGACTCGACACGCTTCAGTGTGAACAGCACTGTGTGCTGACATGTGCAGAATTTTCATTTAAAATGCTTCCCAAACATCTGTCTGACGCCTGCTGACAAAGCTAGTGTGAACGTAGCCTAAGATAGGAAGAATGTTACTGGCTGGATCACCAGGTGAAAAGAAAGGGAAAAGAAGTCATCTAAAGCAGCCACCACATCTAAGGACTGGTGAACTGCAAAAGATTACATTTTTGTTGTTGGGTTTGGATAAGATTTAAACATAATGAGGGAAGGTGAATGCCTAATGGCCTGTTGAACGAAGCTGCAGAACAATTCTGTGCATTTTTAGCTGGTTATGAATACAATGGGGTTGATTTACTAAAGGCAAATAGGTTGTGCACTGCAATTGTACTGAAAGAGCAGTTGCTGTAGATCTGAGGGGAACATGGAAGAAAATTAAAAAACAGCATTTTTGCTTGCACATGATTAGATGACAGAATTCGGCAGAGGTTCACCTCATCTTAGAGCTTCCCCTTGGATCTAAGCAACTGCACTTGCAGTGCACAGTATATATTTACCTTTTAGTAAACCAACCCCTATAGCTAATCCTTTCTCTTGTTGCTGTCAGGCCATGCTTCCTGTGGGCTGTGTTCGTATAATCCCATACAGTGAGAAGTATGAGGATGCCTATCGATGTAACTTTCTGGATTAAGCCCACAAGCTGAGATTCCCCCACATGTGCAAAGTTCCGGTAAGTCTGTCCAACAGTACCATCTTATCTACGACATCACATCCTATGGGATAGAATCTAATATATAGGTGAGCACTGGCGATATCTGGGGAGCAGCTAGAACACAAGGTGAAGGTAACAATCCCCTACAATAGTAGATGTCAGAAAGTGCAGCGCTAAAAAAAAAAAACTTTATTGCGGAATGGTAAAGTGCAATACATAAAAGTGCAAAAAACATTAGTAAATGCGAAATATAAAAATCAAACAATATGGTAAAGTGCATCATGAATGTAATGAGCTGAGTGAAGCAGTAAAGTGCATCAAGTAAAAGCATGAAAATATCAGCTAAACAGCTCAAAAAGCAAATACCAAACAATAAAGTGTATCACGGGCAGAATCTAAATACAACAATGTCCGTGGTGATCCGTGTGATATAAAGTGCAGTAGTAAATGATGTTACAATAAACATATAAAGTGCTGCAGCGACCGTCGGCTGGAACCGAAAAGAATCAGCAAGGGAGAATGTCACCAGCACACCGAGGATCACCAATATGGGTCCAAAAGGTTTCATGAACGATCACATGCAGGGCGGACTGACAACTCATGGGGCCCCCGGGCAATAGGGGATCATGGGGCCCCTGTGTCCTCACCCACACTCAAACCACACCCAAAAAAGCCTATGAAAAAGGTACCAGGGGTATCTCATGGGGCCCCCTACTGACCCCGGGCCCTCGGGCAGTGCCCAAGTTCCCAAATGGTCAGTCCGCCCCTGATCACATAGTTACAGCAAGGCAACGTTTCGGAGTCTCGCAGGAACTCTTCATCAGGCACATGCTGAGGATCACCAATATGGGTCCAAAAGTTTTATTGAACGATCACACAGTTACAGAAAGGCAACATTTCGGAGTCTCGCAGGACCCCTTCATCAGGCACATGCCGAGGACCACCAATATGGATCCAAAGGTTTTAACCACTTGCCTACCAGGCACTTATACCCCCTTATTTACCAGGCCAATTTTCAGCTTTCAGCGCTGCCGCAATTTGATTGACAATTGCGCGGTCATGCAACATTGTACCCAGATGAAATTTTGATCATTTTTTTCTCACAAATAGAGCTTTCTTTTGGTGGTATTTAATCGCCACTGGGCGCTTTACTTTTTGCGCTATAAATTAAAAAAGTGCAAAAAATTTGAAAAAAAAAAAAAAAGTTTCTTTGTTTCTATTATAAAATTTTTCAAACAGGTATTTTTTCTCCTTCACTGATGTGCGTTGATGAGGCAGCACTGATGGGCACTGATAGGCGGCACTGATAGGCAGCACTAAAGGGCACTGATAAATGTAAAAGAGGAGGTGCAGCGCTATATAACTAAACACAATACTAAATAAACCACTAATGGTACACAATAGTGATAAACAGTGACTGAAATTAATAATGCCACTAAATGGTGGCCATAGAGTGAAGAGAGTGAAACAGTCCAATGAAGGAGTGCTCTTGAGATCCGGGATGATCTTCAAACGTCCTATATGAAGGACCAACAGGTGATAAAATATGAAGACTGCGCACTCACCAGATACGCAATCTTTATGCGCATTTGTATAAAATATCACTGGACCTCCTGTATCCTCATCCTGGTCTGGTCAGATCTGGTCAGCATATCCCTCAAGGCCTGGTATCCACATAGATGTAGCTTTTCCGTAGATTTGGCCGGTTTTCACCAATGCTCAAATAAATAGAAAGGGCCACATAGTGTAATATCCTCAGGTATCTTTATTAGAGGTACAGGATAGCAGGAAAACTGACATGCAAAAGTATACTATTGTGTACCATTAGTGGTTTATTTAGTATTGTGTTTAGTTATATAGCGCTGCACCTCCTCTTTTACATTTATGCTATTGAAGGTCTGATACGGTGCCTTTTCTGGTGTACAGCTGCTGCTCATTACAAAGGGCACTGATAGGCAGTACTAATGAGGTGGCACGGATAGGCGGCACTAATATGCAGCACTGATAGGCGGCACTGATAGGTGACACTGATGATGGGTACTGATAGACGGCACTGACTGGCATCACTGCTGGGCACTGACTGGCACAGCCCCTGGGCACTGACTGGTGGCACTGACTGGCAGCACTGCTGGGCTGCACTGGTGGGTGGCACTGGTGGGTGGGCACAGGTGGGGTGGCACTGGTGGGCACAGGTGGGTGGGCACAGGTGGGTGGCACTGCTGGGCACAGGTAGGTGGCACTTCTGGGCACAGGTGTGTGACACTGCAGAGTGGCACAGGTGGGTGCACTGCTGGGCACAGGTGGGTGCACTGCTGGGCACAGGTGGGTGCACTGCTGGGCACAGGTGGGCGGAGCTAGTGGGCGCACTGCTGGGCACAGGTGGGCGGAACTTGCGGGTGGCATTGCTGGGCACCGATCATAAGGGCACTGATCATCAGTGCCCTGATGATCGGTGCCAATCCCCGCTCTGACAACTGCCGGTTCTCGGCAGTACTTTCCTCACGATCTGACAGCGTGAGGAAAGTGCAGCCGAGAACCGGCACTTGCATTTCCCTGTGATCAGCGTGTCATTGGACACCGCTGATCACGTGGTAAAAGGCCGGTATGATTGGCCTTTTACCACATCACGTGATCAGCTGTGTCCGTAGGACACAGCGATCATGGAGATCGCCGGGTGCGCGCCCCCTGGGGCGCGCAGGAGAGCGCGTTCTGGGAGGACGTCATATGACGTCCACTCAGAACTGGCCGGCCGCAGTTTAGCCGTCATTCGGCTATCTGCGGTCGGCAAACTAGTTAATGAACGATCACATAGTTACAGAAAGGCAACGTTTCGGAGTCTCACAGAATGTGGTCACATGCCTGATGAAGGGGTCCTGCGAGACTCCGAAACGTTGCCTTTCTGTAACTATGCGATCGTTCATTCAAACATTTGGACCCATATTGGTGGTCCTCGGCACATGACCTGATGAAAGGGTCCTGCGAGACTCCGAAATGTTGCTTTTCTGTAACTATGTGATCATTCATTTAAACTTTTGGACCCATATTGGTGGTCCTCGGTGTGCTGGTGACATTCTCCCTTGCTGTCTCTGGTTCCCAGCACTTGCCCAAGGAATACCAAGAGATGTGTCGGCCTCACCTCCCTGTGCAGTCCTTGTGCACATGCTGGGAACCGGAGACAAGGACAGGAGCTTCTTAGCAAATCAGCTATGCGCCAGTGGCTGTGTGCCGAGGGGGTGTGCCCTTGCCGACATTGCATCTGACAATACAGGGCACATAGACAGACAGAAGGTACAAAGTATTACATGTATTTTTTCCCATCAGAAACTTAATAATATACAAAAGTGACACCTCTTTAATATCAGCTCTATATAAAAAGAGAAAATGTTATCGTATTGTTTTACCTTTCTGTATGAATTATTGGCAGCAAACTAATCAGACCCCCCTCGCGGTTTCTTTGTGACAGAATTTGCAGTAATGATTGACGTCCGCACTGCCCCACGTAGCAATCTCTACCCTGTTCTGTTCGAGGAAGAGCCTCTCAGCAAGTATGAGTTTGTGGTGGCCAGTGGGAGCCGGGTAGCTACAGACCGTGGTAAGTACATAGGTTGGGTAATTGTAAGTCTGGGGTCTTCAAACACTTTCTAAACAAAGAACAAGTTTACTGTCCTTCAGACTTTAGGGGGGCCAGATTGTAGTCAGCGGCAGTAGAAAATGTCCTTCCAAAGGTGGAAGCAAACAATGCTCCATCTTTTGCTGTCAGTGGGAGGAATAGTGCTCCCCATCTTTGGTGTCGGTGGGAGGAATAGTCCCCCATCCTTGGTATCAGTGGGAGGAATAGTGCCCCATCTTTGGTGTCGGTGGGAGGAATAGTGCCCCATCTTTGGTGTCGGTGGGAGGATTAGTGCCCCATCTTTGGTGTCAGTGGGGGATTAGTGCCCCATTGTTGATGTAATTGGGAATAGTTGTGCCCCATTGTTGGTGTCATTGGGAACAATTGTGTCCCATTGTTGGTGTCATTGGGAACAATAGTGCCCCACTGTTGGTGTCATTGGGAACAATTGTGTCCCACTGTTGGTGTCATTGGGAACAATTGTGCCCCACTGTTGGTGTCATTGGGAACAATTGTGCCCCATTGTTGGTGTCATTGGGAACAATTGTGTCCCATTGTTGGTGTCATTGGGAACAATAGTGCCCCATTTTTGGTGTCATTGGGAACAATAGTGCCCCACTGTTGGTGTCATTGGGAACAATTGTGCCCCACTGTTGGTGTCATTGGGAACAATTGCGCCCCACTGCTGGTGTCATTGGAAACAATTGTGCCCCTTTGTTGGGGTCAGTGGGTGGAATTATGCCCCATTGTTGGTGTCAGTGGATGTAGTAGCGCCCCATCATTGATGTTAGTGAATGGAATAGTGCCCCATCATTGGTATCAGTGGGAGGAATAGTGCCCCATCATTGGTATCAGTAGGAAGAATAGAGGCCCATCATTGGTATCAGTGGAGGAATAGTGTCCCATCATTGGTGTCAGTGGATGGAATTGTGCCCCATCATTGGTATCAGTGGGAGGAATAGTGCCCCATCATTGGTGTCAGTGGGAGGAATAGTGCCCCATCATTGGTGTCAGTGGGAGGAATAGTGCCCCATCATTGGTATCAGTGGGAGGAATAGTGTCCCATCATTGGTATCAGTGAGAGGAATAGTGCCCCATCATTGGTGTCAGTGGGAGGAATAGTGCCCCATCATTGGTATCAGTAGGGAGGAATAGTGTCCCATCATTGATATCAGTGGGAGGAATAGTGCCCCATCATTGGTGTCAGTGGGAGGAATAGTGCCCCATCATTGGTGTCAGTGGGAGGAATAGTGCCCCATCATTGGTGTCAGTGGGAGGAATAGTGCCCCATCATTGGTATCAGTGGGAGGAATAGTGCCCCATCATTGGTATCAGTGGGGGGAATAGTGCCCCATCATTGGTATCAGTGGAGGAATAGTGCCCCATCATTGGTGTCAGTGGCAGGAATAGTGTCCCATCATTGGTGTCAGTGGATGGAATTGTGCCCCATCATTGGTGTCAGTGGGAGGAATAGTACCCCATCATTGGTATCAGTGGGAGGAATAGTGCCCCATCATTGGTATCAGTGGAAGGAATAGTGTCCCATCATTGTATCAGTGGGAGGAATAGTGCCCCATCATTGGTATCAGTGGGAGGAATAGTGCCCCATCATTGGTATCAGTGTGGGAGGAATAGTGCCCCATCATTGGTATCAGTGGAAGGAATAGTGTCCATCATTGGTATCAGCCACTTTGTTGGGGCACGAGTTGCATGATAACTGTACTGCCTCCCTTTATATAGTAAAGCATTGTGCAAGCTGTTAGTGCCGAATAAATCTCGTTTAATAATAGGAAGTGATATTCTGATCATTCGTTTATCTCTTTACCCTGATGAAGTATCTAAAATGTATTTTTACTTCTGGCAAGTGGGACTGACCATCCTGAAAACAAGATCGAAGCTGCCCTGAACAATGAGAACCTGTCTATGGATGTAGTGGACCAGTGTCTAGTTTGCCTGAAAGAAGAGTGGATGAAGTAAGAATTTTATTTTGCTAATAGACTGCCGCTGCTTCCTCCTAGAATAAGATTCCTTGTACACTGCAGCTGATAAACGGACGTTTAGGAGCTTTTCTGTGTTTTGTTTTGTTTTTTTTCAGCAGCCCCTGAACTCTCCCTAATGTTCTCCTATGTGTCCTGTACACATCCTTTACAGGCAGTTGGGTTTACAGTTGTGTTTTTTTAATGCACCAAACTTGCGTTCAGGAGTAGATTTTATGAGCATGTCAAACGCTTGTAAACGCGGCAAACCGCGTTCATAAGCGTTTGCGTTTAGAAGCATTTTTTAACTGTTCCATATCCAGATGCTGTCCAGAGCCTTTTTTCTTCATCAGAAATGCATGTGAAGCGTTTTCCATGTATTCAAATGGACCCGGTACACCAGCGCAGTCAGTTCCAGGTTTCACGTGAAGGAAACAATGGTAGAACGCGCCACATTATGCTCATGATGGGATCCATAGTGCATACAACCAGAAAAGACCGGTCATCTCAACACATACTGCTCTCTCTGCTTCTGCTCTCTCTATTCCTCTCAAAATGTCTGAAATAGTTAATTTTTTACTGTTTTTCAGTGCATTCTGGGCATTTTGGAAGGTCTCCTGAGGTTATGTTAAAAAAATGCTTCTAAATGCAAACGCGCATAAACGCGGTATGCAAACGCGGCTAAACTGACGTTTTTTAACCTACGTTTTCCAGCAGTCAGTTTCCATCGTTCAGAAGAGTTTTCCAAACGCCCCGTGTACATGAGCCCTAACATGGGCTGCCTGCATGCAGCTCCATCAACAAGTGGTCCATTCATGTGGAACAAGCCATAGGACCTGTGTGACCAAAGCCTAACTTTTTAAAATAACTAACTTGTATGTTTTGTGTTGATGCCTCATAACCAGCCTTTTTCATCTAGGGTGCCCTGGCAAAATGCCTAAAATTGCCCAACAATTATATATCAGCCAGCAGGTGGGTCAAGCCTGCCTTTTAATTACATAAAGCCACAGGTTTTCATTGTGCACCATTACAACCGTCTAGCCACCAGTGTCCTAACAACCAATGATGTCATCCGTTGATAAGCAGGACATTGGGCACAGCATCCTTGTTTGCCCCTCCCCATCAGCACTGGGGTTCACATTAGCTGAGTGAGAGAGAGAAACTGAGGGAGAAGAGAAACATTGGAATACTAGTCAGTACCAGTGTGCAAAGGCATGTTTCCTTTGCCGCCTCTGACATTGATTGTCCTACATGTGTGAATGTTGCTGCATTATGTATAACTATTAGTTTAGTTTTTACATTTTAGAATGGGGTGCCTTAAGATTGTACATAAAAGGGTGCCTTGTCTGAAAAAAGGTTGAGAAACACTGACTTACACTTTACCCACTTGCCCTCCTGAGGATTTCCGCCCCCCCCTTCCTGACCAGGCCATTTTTTGCGTTACGGCGCTGCATTACTTTAACTGATAATTGTGCGGTCATGTAACGCTGCACCCACACTTACCTGTTTTATCTACAGGTAAGCCTTTAATAAGGCAAAGCAGGTTGCTTACAGTGAAGCGCCCATACAGCCCCCATAGTGGAACACCACACCGTTAACCCTTTGATCGCCACGTATATCCGAAGGGAAAGAAACCTATATGTCAACAATACAGTTCCCCTGTCCACTCCTGCACACTGCTTTGTATGGCTCTGCATAGCCACGCAAAGCAGTGTACTTACAGTGAAGCACAAACACAGCCACACAATGTAAAAGAGCACACAGTTAACCCTTTGATCGCCCCTGATGTTAACCCCTTCATGCCCAGTGCCATTAGTACAGTGTCAGTGCTTTTTATTAGCATTGATCACTGTATTGGTGTCACTGGGGATGTCAGTGACATCGTCAGTTCCCTCCAGTGTCAGAATGCCCGCCACAGTCCCGCTATATGTCGCCATTACTAGTAAAAAAAAAAAAAATTC